TTGATTACAGTATTGATGCTGAGGAACATGTACCCTATTTGAAAAGTGTTTCTAAGTTATTTTGATTACAGTATTGATGCTGAGGAATATGTACCCTATTTGTAAAGTGTGTCTAAATTATTTTGATTACAGTATTGATGCTGAGGAACATGTACCCTATTTGAAAAGTGTTTCTAAGTTATTTTGATTACAGTATTGATGCTGAGGAACATGTACCCTATTTGAAAAGTGTGTCTAAATTATTTTGATTACAGTATTGATGCTGAGGAACATGTACCCTATTTGAAAAGTGTTTCTAAGTTATTTTGATTACAGTATTGATGCTGAAATGGAATATTCTGTAGCAACATCTTTAAACTTTATGTGCAGATCAATATTTGATTTGTAAATAAATAAAAATAATTCTAGACACTTTACTGAATCATGACTCACTGTTATGTAAGATCTTTAACAAAACCTTTTTATCTTTTTTTTTATTATTATTCAAGCATAATTTACAATTCTGATAGCTACTCAGTCCTTTCAATGTCAAAGACGTTATTAAACCAAAACAGAAGTAAGGCAAGCTGCAGGTTTGCCTTACAAATGTTATACATAACATGTATTGAATACTTAAGAAATATACAATTAAACATTGTTTTGTCTAAGCTCTAGCTATCAAACCCATAACTAATGATTGCTAATATTTTCCTTAGCATCTAAATTTACCCTTTCCTTTGTTTTGCATTAAGTACTGTTCAGTTCAAACACTCACTAGTTCCAAGATGCTGGTTAGAAACCTATCAATCCTATGGTGTCATTTTAAACCACCTAATATTCTCATCCAAACAAAACATAACAGACTTCCACTGCAGTTCGTGTAGATTCCATCTATATCTAGTGATAGTATAATACTATGTATTATTTGATTTGTTTTATTTATCATTTAACAGTCTAACAAGTATTTATTTATGCAACCCAAACTTGTTTAATTAAACTAAACATTTATGTACAACTGTCACTACAAATTAAATTAATAATTCTTGGTTGTCAAAAACAATACTGTTAATCCACTTTTTACTACAGTTTCTATTCATAAAGTCAAGATCAGAATTATAAGTGCATAAAACATGTTAAAGAACCAGCCATTAAAAAGGTCACAGAAAAAATATGTTAAAATCTTTAACCCCCCCAAAAAAAACACTTTTCCCTAACTACTATCACAAGAATGTTTCGAACCATACATGTTCACTATTTCACATAAGCTTATATTCAAAGAAAAGAGCAAATTTTCAGAAGGCACAATTTATGCAAGTACAGTGAAATTTATTTTCATTTACGTAAGAACAAGCCAAAGCATTTTCAACAAACATGCAAAAATTAATGAACTTGATAATCCTAAATCGTTTATAATAACCATGTACATCGAGACAACGATCAGAACAATAAACGACAAAAGTTGGAAGATTACAACAAAGCTACAATGTATACAACTCACAGATTTTAATTAAAAAAGTTCTGTTTTATTTTGAATATCTGATTGAATATTTAATTAAGAGGACTAATTATTTTGTAGACATGTTTAGATGTTGAATGGATGAGACTCATTTGTGTGTTCCAAGATTGACCCATTTAATAGAAAAGGTTAATCAGCTGAAAAAAGTGTTCATTGGATTCAGCTTACAAAGTTGTAGAAACCTCAAGGCCAAATTATGACAATTTAAACATAAAGCTAATGGCAAAGCATATTATAATTTCATATTTCTAAAAACACATGTTAAGTAGGCCACTTTAAATACGTAAAGCCAATGAAGTAAGTATATCAAGTAATATGCATTATAAAGCATTGCTTTGTATCAGTTCCATAACAATTTGGCTTTATGTCTGTAGCATCAACTGTCCAGTTACATTAACTACCATAACAAAAGAAAGTAACAAAAACCTTAGAAAAAGATCAAACAAAATTATCAATACAATAGTCAAACAACCTTTAGCCCAAGTGTATTCAGAGAAGTGTAGAACAAGTTATATCAAAAAACTTGGTAACAAATGTGAAACTGCCATATCTTCCGTTTTATAAAATATTATATTAGAAGTTCAAGCAACAAAAGTTAATTGAAAAATGTAGTTAGGCTTAAAATTAATTCAGCATTTCGAGGTAGGCTGTGGGCACTTTGCCTTTCTGTTTTCCCCGCTCACCTATCATCCAGTCTGGGTCCTGCCCTGGTTCCAATGTCACATGTATCACCTGTTAAAGACATGTGCTGACTATAATTTTGTGTATCTGTTTAAGAGATACTATCACTATAAATTTTCCACCAGTTAAGAAGCTTGTGTTACAAAAATTCATCTTTCTACATATGGAAATGCTGATATCTTATTGATGAATCTGTCACAAAAAAAGTTTGGTTCAGAGTTCCACCTAGAAATATATATTTTTGCATCAAAAAAGAAACATGACCAATTACTTCAAAAATCAAAATAAAAGATGAAGATTCAAATTTTTCAAAGACTTTAAAGTCTCTCATTTTTAGCAAATGTTATACCACCTAAAAAAAATCATATTAACATGTCCTGCTGTTCATTAATATAGTGAAACAAGAAGACAATGATGTTAATAGTTTCATAAGTGCATGTCCATGGAAGTAATAGTAAAGCATTAGTCCTGTTGTTCATTGACATTGTCTTCTTGTTTCACTATATAATGCTTTACTATTACTTCCACGGACATGCACTTATGAAACTATTCAGTCATGTTTCATCTTTTTCTTGCAGCAAAAGTTGAAGTCACTCACTATTATGAAACCAATATTTTATAAAGCTTAACAGCAGAAATAATTGATTTTGAATACTTTCTTACATTTGTTGAAAGAACACCTAGAACTGTTGATCTAAGGCTTTTGCACATCTATTTACAAAGCACATATGACAAAGTCTAATGTACTATTAGCTACAATTCTAAGTTACTTTTTGACATAACCACAAAAAATATCAATCTTTTCTTTAATGTTTATTTATCCTTAAACAATTTTGATATCATTAGAGATACAGATTCATAGCTTCATCTAATTACTTTTTAAATGAGTTATGACAAATAAAAAAAACCTTTATCCAAGGGGGGAGGACAGAAACTAAGAGTTATGATGTATGGCAAGTAATGACCTTCACTGAATGACCACTACTTCCTTGGGCATTGGTGGTAAACAAATGATTTATAGATCAGCAAATAAAAAAAACCTTTATCCAAGGGGGAGGACAGAAACTAAGAGTTATGATGTCTGGCAAGTTATGACCTTCACTGAATGACAACTACTTCCTTGGGCATTGGTGGTAAACAAATGATTTATAGATCAGCAAATAAAAAAAAGCCTGATCATCAATTGGATCTTAAAATCTTTCTACAACTTCTTTTTTCTACATGATCTAATAGTTTTATGTTATATTTAGTTATTTAGTTATATCCAGGAATAATTTTTATTAATATTTCAGCTCCAAAATCTGTACGGAAGGACTTTATTTTCAGCTCCAAAATCTGTACAGAAGGGCTTTATTTTCAGCTCCAAACTAGGTTTAGAAAACCATAAAATGTCATAAAAAAAGCACTAGAAAAACAACTTGGATAACTTACTTCATCGGCTAACAAAGACAATTCCGACTTGTCATGAGCATCATAATCATAAAGCACTCTCGCTTGTTTTCTCTTGTCATCAGGGGCTGTTGACGTTGGCCCAGCGTTTGCAGAAAATGATGGGTAAATGTTCTGGAATGAATCTGTTGTTCCACTACTTGAAAGAGCCACAGACATACTTAAGAAAGGAGAAAATTACTCTGAAAATTGTAATTTGTTTCTCTAGGTATCAAAAACACAGGAAACAAAAGCATTAGAAACAAACTTGTCAACAATTTTCATTTCAGCTCTAAAACTATGATATCAATGTAACTAACAAAAGAAACACAATATACACCAATCAGAATTATATGATTTGAAAAATTCAAAAAGCTTTAATCCTAAAATTTTTATAGCATACATTTATCAGTATTATTTGTAATCAATCATGTTTTGTAACTACTGAAGTTCTTATTTATTTTCAAACATTACATATTATTTACTTCTCGAAATGTATTAAAAGGATGGATGTCAATAACGACATCCAATAAAGTACTGGCAGTAGGATTTACTAAGCTCCAGTGGAAAACTTTGAAATACAAAAATTACAGAGCACAAGTACAGCACTTGCTCTAAGAAAACCTTATAAAAATAAGTACATCAGCAGCAAAATTTGAACTAGCCACGAAACATTTTGTGAAATTTCAACAAAACATTCTATCATTATTTTATGGTAAATGTAAACAAAATAGTATAATAAATCAAGTATCAGAAAGTTATTGCTACTTTTTCTGTTTGTCAGAATTTAAAAATCTGATCTTCGTCAATTGTCAAAATAAAAAGGCTTTTACACTTATATTTCTTAATTATATAAATATATACAATGTTGTTGTTGGGCTTAGGATTTTTCTACAATAGGTGTCTGACTTGTTAGCAATAAATTGAATGATGAATAAACAGCATGCACTTCACTTGTTTTCAAAATAATATATATATATATATATATATATATATATA